CATCAACATGCCTATCAGAAAGGAAAATCGTGTGAATCATCACTACATCAACTAACGATACAAATAGAGGATTCACTGAACAATCAAGAAACAACATTGGGAACCTTCTTGGACATTGAAGGAGCATTTGACAACACTCCTTTCGAAGCAATGGTTACATCACTCAAACAGCGAGGAAAATACGAAACCTGCTGTAGATAGATAGAATCAATGCTAAAAAGCAGGAAAGTGCAGGCCTCCATGTTCCACGAAAAAGTAGCAGCAGTGGTGGCGAGGGGGTGTCCGCAAGGAGGAATACTGTCGCCTCTGCTGTGGAATGTGGTAGTGGACGACCTCATATGCAAACTAAATGAAAGTGGAATTTACACCCAAGGCTATGCAGATGACATTGTCATACTAGTCAGGGGAAAATTCGATTCAATTAAAAGAGCTCACCCAAAGAGCACTAAACCTGGTGGAACAATGGTGTTTAAAACGGGGACTTAAAGTAAACCCCTCAAAAACCACCTTAATTACTTTCACCAAGAAAAGAAATATAGAAATACAAGGATTACGCTTCTATAACGAAATGCTGCTATTAAAAAATAAGATCAAATATCTAGGAATAATCTTTGATAAGAAATTAACCTGGAATCCTCACCTCCAACATACAGTAGCAAAAAGTAAAATATCGCTAATGACCACAAGAAGGACCTTAGGCAAATCTTGGGGACTAAAACCGAAAATGGCTTATTAGCTATACACGGCAGTAATAAGACCTGGAATAACCTATGGATCACTAATCTGGTGGAACAAGGCTCAACATGCCTAACCCAAACATTAGGCAGCATACAAAGACTAGCAAACCTATGTATCACAGGGGCGATGAGAACAACCCCTACAAACGCATTAGAAACCTTGCTAAACCTACCTCGACTAGAAATATTCACACAAGGAGAGGCTAGGAAAAGCTCATTTAGGCTCCAGAAACAATTAAATTGGAAAGGAACTAAACAATTCGGGCATACAACCATAATCAACAAAATCAGACACCCATTATTAGAAATGGGGACTGACTACATGATCCCGGAAACAATCTTCACAACTTCCTACAAAGTCTCAGCAGACTATAAAGGAGAGGAAGAACACAGGAGATCATCAGATAGAATGATATGGTACACAGATGGCTCCAAAACAAACGAAGTAACCGGATCAGGCGTTTTCTGTACAAGCCCAAAATATGAGCAATCAAACTCATTAGGGATGTATACTTCGGTCTTTCAAGCGGAAATACATGCCATCAATGCTTGTGCCCTGGAAAATCTTAGAAGAGGTTACACTGACAAAAAAATCCTCATAAGATCAGGCAGCCAAGCAGCTATTAAAGCATTAACATGTAAAAGAATTACATCAAAACTAGTCAGTGAATGCATCCAAAATCTCCAAAACCTGGGAAAACATAACAACCTGATGATATCTTGGGTACCAGAGCACAGGGGAATTTTGGGTAATGAGGAAGCAGACAAACTGGCCAGAGGAGGATCTGCAAGACCATACATAGGCCCCGAACCTATCCTTACATAACAAAAACAAAAAGCTTATAGATTCTAATATAATCTAAAAGATTATAGCCAAGTATACGAGCGACTCCGAACTCGGACGCGACCCCTAGGAATTCGCTTTAGCGAAGCCCTTGGGAGGGCGGCACTGACACTGGGGACGGTACTCGGGCTGTGTAACAGACCGACACCGCCCTGGGTCCTTCCAGCCGTACTCGTCTGAGACGACCTCGCGGTATTAGCCAGGTCGTGTACACCGCCGCACCTCTACCGAGCTGGGTTCCTAGAACTCAGATCGGAATTCGCTGGTTTTCGCCTCGTCTTTACGGACGGGTCCAAGACCGGCGAAGGTGTGGCGTGCGCCGTGTATAACGGGGGTTCGTCCACACGGCAATCCCGCGGGACTGCACCGTGTACACGGCTGAACTCTATGCGATCTGGCACGCACTCGGGGTGATTCGAGACGATGAGGGCTCTGCCTTCCTTGTCTGTACGGACTCCCTGAGTGCAGTATCGGCAATCCAGGACAGGTTCGCCACGAACCCTCTTGTCGTGCTCCTTTTAGAAAGATATGCTGAGCTGGAGCGCCTGGGAAAAACGGTAGTAGTTGTCTGGGTACCCGGACACGTCGGGCTCGAGCGCAACGAACGTGCAGATGAGGCAGCGAAAGCCCCCAGACCAAGCTACCGCGATCCGGCCCGGAGACGCTGTGCGAGCAGTAAAGAACGCTGTGGGAAAGCGTGGGCCGGGTCGTCGAGAAGCTCCTGCGAGTTAAGGGCACGACTGAACGATGGCCTCATGAGAATCTGAAACGAAATGAAAGGATCGTGTTAACTCGGTTGAGGATTGGCCATACCCGTCTGACACACGGTCATCTGCTTCTGGGTCAAAACCCGCGCAGGTGTCCCGCTTGTAGAGCTTGTAGTTGCTCAGTGTGTCTCATCTTGTCGAGGAGTGCCGTGCCTTGGCCCCCTACAGGGAGCGAGTAGGCATGAACCCTGGCAAAAACGGTACTCGGGCGAGCAAGTCAAATGTTGGATCCCCTATTCCGTTTTTTAAGAGATACGGGGGCGTTTCCTCACTTGTAAATAGTGTATAAAACGTGAATATCTGTGTAAATAAGTGTATCTGTGTTGTGTTTATTGTGTCGTGTATTTATTTATAAGTAATTTATTTATTTGTTTGTTGTAAGTGGGTGATCTTTTCTGTAGGGCCGATGGCGGAATATTGAGTATCCCATCGGCCACAACAGTGCAGTGAGAGGGGGCTGAAATGACTTTATTGTTGGAAGTCCCCGGGGTGAAAAAAATAGAATCCTCCATCGCAGAATGGATACAAGCAAAACAAAAAGAGAAGTGGATAAACTCTAGCGGTGCTAGACACAGTAAACTTATGATGAAACAACCCTCACCGAGATTGGCAAAAACACTGCTGTAATTGGAGAGGGCAAAACTCAGAGGAGTGGTGGGACTACTAACCGGTCACTGGTATCTGAGAAAACATCTACACAACATTGGTATATACAGCGATGATCCCATCTGCAGATTATGTAATGAGGAGTAGGATACAGCCACTCATATCATCTTCGAATGCGAAGCAACAGCTCAATGGAGGTTTAACCTAACGTACGGAAAAAACTTAGGGAATCAAATTGCAGCAACAACAGTCAATGACCTGATACTTCTAAGAAGAACGATTGAGTCTATTGACTGAAGTAAGGAACTAGGAAGGTAGAATAAGCCAGAAGGCTGCAGTGCCTGGGGAATACAAACCCCGATTCCTAGTATCATTTCCACCATATCATACCATACGTTACCATACGGTTAGGGTTGGTTTAGAGTTAAAGTGAGTTATATTAGGTCAGGTTGGATTAGGGTTGTTTAGGATTGTCATTAAGATTAGATTAGATGGATAGGTTATGTTAAAGCTTAGGTCAGGTTAAGGTTAGATTACATTAAGCTTGTGATTAGGGATATGTTAGGTTTGGGACGGTTTAAGGTCGAGTTAGATTAATTTAGGTTAGGATCGGTTGAGTTGTTATTATGATTAAGGATAGGTGAGATTAAGGATGAAGACAGGTTAGTTAACATTGAATTCACTATAATTAAGGATAGATTATGGTTAGGAACGGCTTAGGGTTGATTTAGATTAAGTTAGGATTACAGTTAGGTTAGTTCCGTTAGGGTTAAGATTGTTATTATGATTGAAGATAGTTATCGATGTATATGTTAGGGCTGAGGATGATTTAGGTTAGGTTCGGTTAAATCAGGGATAGGGTTAGGGTTGAGTTAGATTAGGTTAGAATTGATTCGATTTACTTCCGCGAAGCTTAGAAAACATGCGTGTGGGAAGCGCGAGACCTATCCACATTGTTATCAGTTTTCGTTTTTCCTAATGAGTTATTCAATTATATATTGCATTGGCTAACGAATTAACTTACTTTTTTCTAAACAATTAGTCGCTTGTTCATATGAAATAATTTTTTTATTAATAACTATGTAATGAATTAAAAATACAGAGTAAAAATATTATAATTTCCAGGTGTTTTTATATCGGCAATGCCTTTCGATTTCTGTAAAAAAAAAAGTAGCTAGCGATATTTGTAATTGAGTCTTCGAATATGCCAACAAGATTTGAAAGAGAATCAAAACTGGGCAACTTATTAGGAAACTTTCAACATGGAACATCAACGTAAAAGCTCATTTTTTCAGTGTCATTTGAACAATTGTGACAAAGTATCATTTCTTTTATTCTAAGCATAGGTTATTACAACTTTCCGAAGGAGTTTAAGTCGAGTGCGTTCAATCTTCTCAGAAGAGTTTGGTTAAAAGAGCGACTGATTACCGGGACATTTTCCCCCCAGAAGATTAAATGGTAGGATAATTTGTATTGAGACGCTTCTGTTAACGGGCCGACCCTCCCGAAATTGTGGATTTGGGGATGTTGGTGTGGGGGGGCGTACTTGTGACTCGTTACCCTCTCAACTTCATCATTCTAAGCCTCGATTCACCCCTTGCTTGATGGCATTCCCTTGACATTCATTAACCCGTTTGGGGTGGGGGGGAGGAAAATTTAACAATTCCGTTTCTGTTTTAATAGAGACTAGTCATGCCTTTCAAAAACCCTTTTTTACGCACAAGTCAATCATTTGTTCTTTTCCATAGTTAGTTTCTACTCTCTGATTTTATCTTCTGGCCTGTTCTGTCTGGGATTGAGAGGGGTTGTAATTTCTTTTCTTTTAATTACGATCTGTATCTCTGTTATTCCAGAACAATGTCTCAAATCTCATCCGCCTCAGATGGCCATGTCGCAACCACAGCAATAACAAACCCGGAGGCTCCAGTGGATCCGATTAGTTCTCTTAAATCAATGTTTCAGTCAAACAAGACAATGACATCTGCTAACTAAGATTTATCTTTCCCCAGAGGAACAATCGGATAAAATAAGCAAAAGTTTGGTTACCGTATGAGTCTTTGTGAAAGAAGTCTCTACAACTGTCGAGGTCATGTGTAATCCTGAACCCTCAGCTCCTCCGCCGTCTCTTAGCTGTCTGTAAAAGAAAATATCCGTTATAAGAAGGGTGAGAGACAGGCAAATTTCGTTCTTAAGGTTAACATCAGAAACAACATTAAAATCTGGGGTGGCATTGATTCTTGAATTTTACTATGGCCTGACCTGGCTGTGAGCAATGCACTCTAAAAGAGAAACCGGCCAACGCTGGCACTTAATGTGAAGTGATAAGGAGCAAAGAGGTCTCGAAGCTAAGGAGTTGGGAGGTCTAGAGGACAGGGTAGCAAGGAGGTCCTGAGGCTAGATAGCTAGATTTCAAAGATTGGTAAGTAGGAGGTTTCGAGACTAAGGAGCTAGGAGGTCTCGAGGATAAGTAAATAGGATGTCTAAACTGCTTGGTAGATAGATTTTGAAGCTTGGTAGCTAGGAGGTTTCGAGGCTAGGTGGCTAATAGGTCTCGAGAATAAGTAGATAGGAGGCCTTGAGGCTTGGTAGCTAGGTTTCAAAGCTTGGTAGCTAGGAGGTTTCGAGACTAGGTAGCTAAGAGGTTTTGAGGATAAGTAGATAGGATGTCTTGAGGCTTGGTAGCTGGAAAGTTTCGAAGCTAGGTAGCTAGGATTCAAAGCTTGGTAGCTAGGAGGTTTCGAGACTAGGTAGCTAAGAGGTTTTGAGGATAAGTAGATAGGATGTCTTGAGGCTTGGTAGATAGATTTCGAAGCTTGGTAGCTAGGAGGTTTCGAGGATAAGTAGATAGGATGTCTTGAGGCTTGGTAGCTGGAAGGTTTCAAAGCTAGGTAGCTAGGAATTCTCACAGATAAAGCTAGGAGATCTCGCGGATAAGAGCCAATGAGGTCTGAAGTCTGCTAGGTCTCAAGTCTATGAAGCTAGCAGAGCTCGAAGCTAAGAAGCTAGGTCTCGAGGATAAGTTTCTAGGAGGGCTCGAGTCTTTAGAGTTAATTTCTTTAACAAAACCCAAGATCATTGCATGTCTGCCAATAGGGCATTGCCGAATCAATATACACTTGCCAACATTAGGAGTGGGAGATAACAGTGTAGGTTCAACCAAGAAGAAGAGGAAAATGTCAGTACAGGTACGGAAGTAAAATAAATGACAGAACCGGATGTGCGTTTGTAGCATATGAGAACGATCAAACATCGGTTATCAGTTCACAGGACTTCCACCTCGCTAACTGGTGTAGCAACCACTAGGCGGAAATGCTAGCCATTAACAAAGCCGCTTAACTGAACTTAACACCACACTACCTAGAAGTGGATATGGATATGGACAGATAGCCAAACATCCATTCAGCCTCTAAGAACCCCTCAAGCTCAAACTGAAAACGTAGACAACATCCGAAGAAATATGGCCGAACTAGTGGACACCCAAGGCTGGAGGGTTTATTTGAAATGGGTAAAGGGTCACAAAGGAATCTCTGAAGATGAAGTCGCCGATCTCTTGGTAAAAGAAGCAGCTGTGAATGAGGATGGCGCAACAGTTTTCACCCTTGTACCCAGCTCATATGAGAAAAATCAATGCGAAGAATGGAGAAATGCGACCAACGAACCATACCAAAAACTTCTTTCATCTTTCTATCATCTTCGCTTCGAAATCACGTATAAATTCACGTAAGCACTCTCAGGACACGGAAAATATACGACCTACCTCCATCGCTTTGTTCTTAAAACATCCCCCCTATGGAGCTGTAACGATGGGAGCAGTCATGGGAACATCTCACATTGGATTGCACAACAATTGATCAACCACGAAGCCGACTCATAAGGAAGGTGGCCTTTCAAGGATATCTTTTCCCCATTGCTGGAGGATTTATTAAAGAATTTGATTTAACATTTCCTTAACTTTATCAACAACGTGGGCTTCAATTTCATTTAATAAAAAAATGACAATAATAATTTTAAAAAATAAAAATAAATGTAAATAAGTTAAAACAGTAAATTCTTTTGAAAAGTTTATAATCACCATTTAGATTTGAATATAGTACTTACCAACTAATGTTAAATTAGATTCAGGTCCATTGAATTGCACTGAACTAATATGTAAAAATGCAATTCGGGCATGCAGAAAAATAAACTCGCTTAGTACAGGGTTTACTGTATTAAGGAAAAAATATCCAAGCTTATTATTCGTACGGGGAAATGTGAGTTCTTTCTACAGAAGAGGTGAGAGTTGGCATACAAATCTTCAGATACTTCAGATAGGCGTAATTTCATATGGAGATACTCAGGAGAACGGTACGACCCAAGAATGGTTCTTCCAGTAGCATTTGTTTTTTGTTTGTTTTTTACAATGGATACCAGGAACTGGAGGAGTTCCCTCCTGAGCACGGCAGCTATTATAGCTTATTGTACTTTATCCCTGGCTCCATATTTTTGGGGGCTCGCAACACAAGGGTGAATTTGAGCCCCCGGTGTGCCGGTGTTCTTCCATCGAAGAAACTCATTTTTGAAGGGGGTTGGAACCAAATTCAGGGTCGCTGAGATCTGATCCCGCTCCTTCCATTGATGAGTGCCGTGTAAATTTCTTTCAATTGCGGCCACCGGTCCTCTTAGGCGTCAGAAAAAGTCCCGAGGCGACGGTGGGGATCGAACCGACTACCGCGGGATCTACTAGCCGTAACCTCTCGGCTACCGCGGCCCCCCTCCAGTACCATTCATTCATTGATGTTCTGAGGTGGCATTTTCTTGGACACCCGCACCGAATGGTTGTTGTGAAAATGAAGATCTCTAACTTCTAACTCACAGAGGTACTTACAAGAAATAATCGAAGAACGTGAGTAGTGTCATTTGCCCCCCTGATATCACCTTATTCTTAAACCTTTGTCAATGGCTCCAGGCAGGCATTTGAGTGAGTATGATAGTGTCAAAACCATAATATTATTAGAGGAAGGATACAGCCAGCGCAAAGACGACAGGAGGCTGTGTGAAAATCACTCTACAATAGGAAGGGTTCTTCGGCGCTACAGAGGAACAGGGCTTCAAACGAGAAGGGTCAACCTTGATGTAGAGACGAGAGAGGGGGTAGAATCTTCCGTCATGAAGCTGTACGAAACCGCACACACGAGGGCCAGTGCACCAGATCCTGTCTACAAAGATGGGGGAGGGTTGTATGGCCATCTGTACCACGGGGTGACTCAACGTTCCAAAATCCAGCCCAGTGTCACATTGGGATGAATTCGTGGTGGCTTGTGGTGACGCCCCTGACGGGAACTTAGACAGAGGCTGTCTTCTATCTGGGACCTTTCGTGAAGCGTGCGTATGGCCAATGTATTACCCCCCGTTCCTCACGGGAGACGTTGCGACCGGACGACAGCATGTAAGCGTTGAGGACGTCATGATCATGCTACAGTCCCTCGAATGCGTAAGTAAGCGATTGGAAAAGGGTAGTGATATCGGCGGTCTTTGACTCGAGTATGCTTTGCATTGTTGTGCGTATGACCGGCGTGGTACCCTCGGGGAAGCGAAGGATCGGACCACCTAGGCTAGACCTATGGCGTCCCTCGATTACGTGCAGCAGGTGTAGGCTGAGCTCGATAAGAGACCTTTTTACCGTAGACAGTGCTCATCTAGGGGGTGGGTAGCAATCCCACTTTAATCCGAAACCGCTGCCGGGGCGTTCCCGAAAGTTTCTACGCTAGGGGAGCCTCTACACTCAGAGAGATAGAGACGTCTTCTCTATCTAGGGAGTACGCGAGGGGGGGGGACGGGCTGATGTATTTCGGCCCGTTAGCCCCTCGCGTGTGGCGTACGACCCGACGCACAATGCGGGCCCGACCACTCAGAATGGACAAGCGGAGAGCGTGGCTACTGACCCTTAGGGGCCGGGACACCACTACACCAATGCTGCGGCGGTAACACTTTTCCGTCGTATGCAGAGGTGCGTCAGCTCTCATCTTGAGAATCAAAACGTCCGATAAGGCCGTATAGGCTAGGTGCGGACGTTAAAGATCCTCTTGTCTTGTTGACGATGAGTAATCGGGAACGGAATGTACGAAACCGCAGTTTTAGGAGTGGAAAAAGAAGTTTAAATTAAAATAACCTCAGGAGGCTCAGGAGAAAAGTAAACCCCATGCTGTACAGTTCCTCATGTGGCATTACATGGTGGGACATTGATGTTCTGAGATGGCATTGCCTTGGACGCTCGCACCGAATTGGTTATAATGCTATATTATAGTGCATTAAAATTTAAGGATGGTGGGTTTATTTTGTCCATCAGTGTATAAATGTGAGTGGCGGATAACAGCCTATGTAGGTTCCAAATCACATAAAGTGAACGCATTTCGTATCATTGTTTGTGTTCTTTTAAAAAGTGATTACGTTCGTTGAATATCATCTAGGAAGATTATCCTACTTAGTGAGCGCAAACAACCTTTTATTTATTCTCCCCGCTTTTGCCAATCAGGCCAGCTTAGACTCGTCCCCGTTGTATTTCTCTTCAAAAACAGTATTTGTTCTTTGTAGACATGAGTGGAAAGTTTTTTTTTTAGTATATTCAAGTTTCTTTGTTAGTATTTCTGGTGCTCGCCCGTATGCGGGACGTTCGAGTTGGTTGGAGCAACCTGCTTCCACCCCGTACATAATCGAACGCTCTATAATCCGCCGACCGCTAATGGCCCGTTAATTCTTATTAAGCAAATAGAAACAGTCGATTTTGTTCCCACAATGGTAATAGTTTTGTTTTTCCATAGAATTCCACTTCCATCAAAGCGTACACTAATTCCATGTTATGAGAATGGTCTCGAACGGATTTCAGAGTCATTACCTTACACAAGAGTACAAAATGCTAATTTTTAACCGTAACGGCATGTTGCGGTTTAGTCGAAAGATACTAATGAGGCTTAATAGCTTAAATCATTTACCTGGCCCAAATTCAAAATAACAGACTTTTACCGTCCGTAGTTTTGAAACAAGTTGGGAAAAAAGCCCTGTTTTTCTGCAATTCTTCAGGCAATTATACAGTGCTTATACCTTCACCCCATACCCCGGAAAACTTCATACAAAAGTCTTAATCATTTTGGCGATCAG